ATTGGCCAAATGGCAGCATAGATGGACTTAAGCGTTGCAACAGTAGTGAGGTTGGCCCGGGACCTGGCAGTGCTTAGTTGTGCCGTGCATAAGGTCGCTATGAGTCGATACCGACTCAATGGCACTTAACAACAACAACAACTATTATTATCATTGAGTTCTTAGATGAGTCATTTCCATTTTTGAGACTGTTATTTCGTCAGTAAAATCGGAAAGCTTCTTTTAATAGTTACTGTGAGAAGTCACTGAGTCAACACAAATCTCTTTGTAAATCACTTTAAAAGCCACCCACAGGTCAGTTATTAACAACCGACATTATTATAATCTTTGGTGTAGACGGCCATAATTTTGTAAAGGAACGAGAACTTTTTCCTTCAAACAGTGCTCGTTCCCCAACCCCCGCTCCCGACTCTTTCCATTTCTTTAAAATTGGCCGGGCAGTTGAGAGATGAGTGAGTGACAGCGCTATCGGCCAACCATTGAGATTGGCCAATCAGCTGAGGACCCGTTTCGGGTCCTCCCAGAGCCTTTGTCCAACCGCGTCCCGGCAGCGCCAGGAATAGGACCGTTGCAAGACGGCCGGTTCCAAACAGGCCTGGGCGTGGGGGTGGAGGTCGACCTGCTCGCGAGGACCACTAGGCTCTTTGCGCCCGAGACCTGGAATTCGGCCGCGGTCTCTGGAAGCGGCCCAGTCCAGTTGGGCCGCGGAGACTGACCTGTGCCTAGAACCCATCTCGTCACGCTGAGTCTGCCGCGAGTCCGTGGCGTCCCCTGCAGCGCGTTCTTGGAGCCACTTTTCCGAGCGGAAGTTAGCCTGCAGCTCAGGCGCTGGTGGGAGCTGCTCGGAGGAATGGCGCCGCCAGGTGAGGCGTTGCGCATGGCTTGATGACTGGGTCCCACGGCCAGCACGCCTTGGGGAACAGGCTGACGCCCGCGGAAAGCTAGTGCCCGCTGCTCGGGAGGCACCCAGGCGGGATCCCCTTCCCCTGCGGGATACGGGCATGGGATCTGGCCTGTGGGGTCGCGAGTCTAACTGAGGGCTGGCGACCCTGGTGGTAGTGCCTACAACCACGGGAAGGGACCTGGGGAGTTCGCCGAATGGGGCTACGGGTCCCTGCGTGGTACAGCCCGATGGGGGGTGGGGAGGAAGAGATCGCGATCGCACTGAAGCCGCTGTTAATTCCAGGCCTGCCTGCGCTCCTTCTTTTTGACTAGGTTTTGAGAGGCAGACTCCTGAGTCTAGTGGCCCGGAATCTGGTCCCAATGCTGTCCCTTACGCATCCTTACCTATGAGCCGCAGTTTCATTTGTTAAAAATATACTTACCTTTTACTAGGAGTTTTGAAGTTAGACTCTGTTTTCAAACTTGTCATGTATTGATTTTTTGACCCGTGCAAGCCGTGCACCTCATCTGTGTAATGGGTTGGTTAGTCATGTTAGCCACATAGGGTTGCTGAATATTCATTGAGCTAGTTCTTTTTTTTTTTTTTTTT